CTGTGTTGCTGTGTCTGTGTTGCTGTGTCTGTGTTGCTGTCTGTGTCTGTGTTGCTGTCTCTGTGTTGCTGTCTCTGTGTGGCTGTGTCCGTGTTGCTGTCTCTGTGTTGCTGTCTGTGTCTGTGTTGCTGTCTCTGTGTTGCTGTCTCTGTGTTGCTGTCTGTGTCTGTGTTGCTGTCTCTGTGTTGCAGTCTCTGTGTTGCTGTCTGTGTTGCTGTCTCTGTGTTGCAGTCTCTGTGTTGCTGTCTGTGTGGCTGTCTCTGTGTCGCAGTCTCTGTGTGGCTGTCTCTGTGTGGCTGTCTCTCTGTGTGGCTGTCTCTCTGTGTGGCTGTCTCTCTGTGTGGCTGTCTCTCTGTGTGGCTGTCTCTCTGTGTGGCTGTCTGTCTCTGTGTGGCTGTCTCTCTGTGTGGCTGTCTGTCTCTGTGTTGCTGTCTCTCTGTGTTGCAGTCTCTGTGTGGCTGTCTCTCTGTGTGGCTGTCTCTGTGTTGCTGTGTGGCTGTCTCTCTGTGTTGCTGTCTCTGTGTGGCTGTTGCTGTGTGGCTGTCTCTCTGTGTTGCTGTCTCTCTGTGTTGCTGTCTCTGTGTAGCTGTCTGTGTTGCTGTGTTGCTGTGTCTGTCTCTCTGTAGCTGTCTCTGTGTGGCTGCTGTGTGGCTGTGTGCTGTCTCTCTGTGTGGCTGTCTCTGTGTGTCTCTGTGTGGCTGTCTCTGTGTGGCTGTCTCTCTGTGTGGGTCTCTGTGTTGTCTCTGTGTGGCTGTCTCTCTCTGTGTGGCTGTCTCTCTGTGTTGCAGTCTCTCTGTGTTGCCTCTCTGTGTTGCAGTCTCTGTGTTGCAGTCTCTGTGTTCTGTGTGTTGCAGTCTCTGTGTTGCAGTCTCTGTCTGTGTGTTGTCTCTGTGTGCTGTCTCTGTGTGCTGTCTCTGTGTTGCTCTCTGTGTGGCTGCTGTCTCTCTGTGTGGCTGTCTCTCTGTGGCTGTCTCTCTGTGGCTGTCTCTCTGTGTTGCAGTCTCTGTGTGGCTGTCTCTCTGTGGCTGTCTCTCTGTGTTGCAGTCTCTGTGTGGCTGTCTCTGTGTGGCTGTCTCTCTGTGTTGCAGTCTCTGTGTTGCAGTCTCTGTGTGGCTGTCTCTCTGTGGCTGTCTCTCTGTGTTGCAGTCTCTGTGTTGCAGTCTCTGTGTTGCAGTCTCTGTGTGGCTGTCTCTCTGTGGCTGTCTCTCTGTGTTGCAGTCTCTGTGTGGCTGTCTCTCTGTGTGGCTGTCTCTCTGTGTTGCTGGCTGTCTCTGTGTTGCAGTCTCTGTGTGGCTGTCTCTCTGTGTAGCTGTCTCTGTGTGGCTGTGTGTGTCTGTGTTGGGCAGTGACGGGTTAAAGCGCCGATGTGACGTCATCCCCCCGCGCCCCGTGTTTACCTTCTCGCTCGGGCTGTCCCCGGGTTTGGCTCGGGTTAGTCCCGGGTTTGGCTCGGGTTAGGCCGAGCGGCATGGCCCGGAATGGAGGGCTGCCCCCCCCGCCCGGTCCGGCCCGGTCCCCGGAGAGCTCTCGGGGGGAGCTCTGTGAGCGGGTGCTGGAGATGGAGCGGGAGCTGCGGAGCTGCCGGCAGGAACTGCGCCGCATCCAGAGACAGCTGGGCCGGAGCGAGAGACTCCACCGGAGCACGGAGAGCCGGAACCGGGAGCTCACCCGGCAGGTACGGCCAGCATGGAGAGCCACCATGGAGAGCCAGTATGGAGGGGGGGACTATATCATATATTATAAACCGGCCCCGGGGGGCCTCCATGGAGAGCCAGCATGGGGAATATATAATATATTATGAACCGGCCCCTGGGGTCACCATGGGAATATATAATATATTATAAACCGGCCCCGGGCCAGCATGGAGGGGAATATATAATATATTATAAAACAGCATGAGGGGAATATATAATATATTATAAACCGTCCGGGCCACCATGGAGGGGAATATATAATATATTATAAACCGGCCCCGGGGGGCCAGCATGGAGAGCCAGGGGGGATATATAATATATTATAAACCGGCCCCGGGGGGCCAGCATGGAGGGGGAATATATAATATATTATAAACCGGCCCCGGGGGGCCAGCATGGAGGGAATATATAATATATTATAAACCGGCCCCGGGGGGCCAGCATGGGGGGCCAGCATGGAGGGAATATAGAATATATTATAAACCGGCCCCGGGGGGCCAGCATGGGGGGCCAGCATGGAGGGAATATAGAATATATTATAAACCAGGAGCTGCAACGGCAGGTACGATCAGCATATGACCAGCATCAAGGGGGAATATATATATATATATATATATATATATATATAAACTCAGGATTCCCCACAGCAGGTACGGCTCCCGGGGGAGGGGGAATATATAGATATATATAACCCAGGGGCTCAAGTGACAGGTATGCCCCTGGTGAGCCAGCATGACAGGGGAGGGGGAAATATGTATGTATGTGTATATATATATATATATCTCCCAGGAGCTTCTGTGAAGGGTCAGTATCATGGGCAAGGGGCTTATACGGAAGGGTCAGCATCATGGGCAAGGGGCTTATACATATCTCCCAGGAGCAAGAAACGGGTTAATTGATTGATTAATTTTGATAACTGCTTGGGTATTGTCGGACATGACACTCACGTTGGTGTTAGTACCAAGTGCACAGTTTCAGTTCGGAAACACTAAAGGGTTAGGAATACAAACCTGTATTATTATCACAAAATAGTTCTCCTCTTTATTTAGATTTCACCTCGCTGGAAACATCACTCATCATCTCGCATGTACTTTACAGAGTGACTTGTTTTTGTGTATTTGTGTATGAGGGGATACCAATCCGTTTGCAGTCATAGTTGCCAGTAGAGGATGAATTGACCAATAATAGTAGTTTTGTCAACATGTTTTATTGTAGGTATTAAGTACTTTACATTTTTTTTACAGGTTGTAGTGTCTGTGTTCTCCTGCCACCCTGCACGCATTTCTGTTTTTATCTGTAAAAATAAGCTGTTTTTTTTTTTTTATATGATTATTGCTTACAGTAACTTTCTCAGTAGGTCTGCATGTGTGTGTACTTTAACTGAATGGTTAGGTGAATATTTGTTTTGTATATTTACAGGTAGAAGAGCTGAGCAGGGAAATCCATGAGAGGCAAACAAACTCAGAGAAAGGGACTGATCAGGAGGTTCAGACAGATGATTATTCCACTTGGTCATATTCGGGTAAAATATACATTGTAAAGGAAGCCACAAATAAAATGCTTGCGATGAGTGACAGAAACTGCCATGTCAAATCTTGACAACTAAACAAATAATTTGGAGTGCATTTACCCCACACCAAATGGAGACAGGATCATTTCCCAGTAACGAAATGCAGACCATTAGATGCACTGGCTTTGCTGTGTCTTTCCTAGCATGAGATTAGCATGCCCATGCGATTATTCCAGGACTTCCTTATTATTGTATACTTAAAGATTATTTAATGAAAATTCTGATTCCACATTATTCATTTCTAGATTACTACAACTATTCTTCCCATGCTAATGGTTATGACACAAATATTACTTGTGGAACGGCTGTTCAGGAGGTTGGCAATAGCAACGTAGAACCTGCTGGCGTGTTCGATTCATCTGTTACTGAATCAGCAGAACATTCAGAGGAGCCCAGCGTTCCGTGCCTTGGAGAAGAGCCCGCAGAATTATATGCTGCCAATGTTCAGGTACAGTGAATCTACTTCTATTTCTCAATTTATTTACCCCAAATTGTAAAATTAATTTGTAACCATGGAGATCTGCTCCTCTGTTTGCTCAATATTTTGATATGCTTGTGATTGACTCTGATTTTAGCTGCTGACACATTGTGACATGTAAAGTTGATTTAGGAGGTGGCGTCAGGATCCAGACTTACGTAGTTTTATCGGTCGAAGAAAGGCTGATGTTTGACATTTACAGTCTTTCACACATGTGGCAAAGGCATACAATGGGGGTATCGTACTCCGCAGATGTAGCCGAACACAATATGAGGTTTTGTACTGGAAGGGCACACACCAAATTTACGAAATACACGTGAATAAAATCTTGTTATATGTGTGTATGTGAAAAACACAATTTTACTACAATATTTAGCAGAGACTGGCGGTGAAAGGGCTGTGGAAAAATTGTTAAAGTAACTTTGGGTAAATAGCTTTTTACTACTGCTACTTTATATAAATATATACTTTGTTTTCTGTGATGGCTTTTAAACGTAGAAAACAAACCTACCAACTTCAAAAAATGTTTCACATTGAAATTTTAATTTTGTGACCTATAACTTTCAAAATAAACTAAAATCCTACACATATTATGTACTCTATAAATCAAGACATATAAATGAATTAATTTTGAATTACTGTGTCACATCAAATTAAAACCCATTTTGTCCTCTAAAAAAGGTATATAATATGTGTTGGTGTAATAGGAAAAACAATTGTTGTCTGGCTTCTGAAGCTGCATCCTCAAGGGGTTAACACTGAATGTAAGGACAGTGCAAGGCTACTCAAGACACCATCACCACTTCAATAAGCTAAAGCAGTTAGTGCCTATAGTCTCCCTTTTTAAAATAAAATGTACTTATTAGCAACTTAATAGCAAGCATGATCACACTTGCTCGGATGTTGGGAAGGGAGGAAACCTGTAATTTGGGCCATACACACATTGCAAGCTCTTCTTTTCACTATGTTTATGATGAGAATATATTTCTGTATTGGTTTATTGTATAAAAAACATACTTGATTCTGTTGAAATTATCTATAATTGCATCACTTTACATGTTTTTATTACTTTTGTGTGTATCTAATGTTTTGATTTTCTGTGTAAGGATGAAGAACAAGGATCCCTGGCAGAAGCTGCACGGTCTCAGACTGACTTTACGTATGATGAAAGTTATGTAAAGAATGTTTCGGTATGATGAATCTACTTTTATTTTCCAATTTATTTCCTTAAAATTATAATATTAATTTGTAACCATGCAGATCTGCTGGTCTGTTTGCTCAATATTCGGATATGCTTGTGATTCTCCCAAAGTTTACTATAGGGAGACAATGATTAGTGATTGTCACTGTGATTCTAGCTGCTAATGCATTGTGACATGTAGACGTTAATTTAGGAGGTGGAGTCATGTTCCAGGCTTACATAGTTTTATAGGTCAAAAAAGGACTAAATCTGGCATTTCCAATCTTTCACACATTTATTTCCAATATTAATTCTAAAGAAGGCAAAAAGTTCAGTGACTTCCCTCTGTGCCACAAAAAGGGAAAAAATCCTTCTTCACAGTGCTAATCCAATTAATAGTTGGATCATAAAATAAATACCGTTTTCACATAAGGGAAAATAAGGTCTTGGTAAAGGGTTACCCCAACCACCATCATCACTTATGCTTTTAGAAGTGGTCGTGGTGGTAAGAGTCTGTACATAGTCTGCAGTGTTTCAATTTGAATTGCTGCACATAGGTTGTTGTGCCTGGGCTAGTTCCACCGCCAGCACACATGACTTTAGCTGCCCCGAACTCTGTTCTGGACGACCAAATGTAAATTCTGTGTGAAGATAAAGCAAGATGGACATAACACCAGGTGACCTAATCTCATTGAAATGTTCTGGGTGCCTATAGTGTCTCTGTAAAAGTCCCTTGTCACCTGCTGCAGGTGTAGTTAAGGCTGAGATTACACACTTCCTTTAAACAGGACAGAGGGGGTGGGGTGCTAGAGACAATAAAAACACTTTAACATTGAATGGAAGGATAGTGCCAGACTATTCCAGACACCATAACCACTTCAATGAGATGAAGCAGTTGCAGTGCCTGTAGTGTGCCTTTTTAATAATACGTTACTTTTTAGCAGCTCAATAACGAGCTTTAAAATAAAAAGTTACTGCTCAATAACAAACATGATTACACTTGCTCAGATGTTGGTAAGGAAGAAAACCTCAGTAATTTTGGGTAAAACACATTTTAAGATCTTCTGTTAGCTAAATGGTTAGATCTACCAGTTTATGATGAGAACATTTCTGTATTGGTTTATTGTGTGTGTGTGTGTGTGTGTATGTATGTGTATATATATATATATAAAAACTTGATTTCTGTTGAAATAACATTAATTGCATCACTTTCAGTTTTTTTTTTTTTATAAATGTTTTTTCGTATTACGTTTCTGTATCTTTAAGATATTTGTATTGTTTTGTGTGTAAGGATGAGGAACAAGGATCCCTGGCAGAAGCTGCACGGTCTCAGACTGACTTTACGTATGATGAAGGTTATGTAAAGAATGTTTCGGTATGATGAATCTACTTTTATTTTCCAATTTATTTCCTTAAAATTATAATATTTGTAACCATGCAGATCTGCTGGTCTGTTTGCTCAATATTCGGATATGCTTGTGATTCTCCCAAAGTTTACTATAGGGAGACACTGATTAGTGATTGACACTGTGATTCTAGCTGCTAATGCATTGTGACATGTAGACGTTGATTTAGGAGGTGGTCATGTTCTAGGCTTACATAGTTTTATAGGTCAAAAAAGGACTAAATCTGGCATTTCCAATCTTTCACACATTTATTTCCTATATTAATTCCAAAGAAGGCAAAAAGTCCAGTTACTTCCCTCTGTGCCACAAAAAGGGAAAAAAAATCCTTCTTCACAGTGCTAATCCGATTTTTATATTTTGATCATAAAATAAATATTGTTGTGACATAAGGGAAAAATAAAGTGTGGGTTAAAGGGTTACTCCAACCACCATCACCATTTCTGCTTTTAGAAGTGGTTGTGGTGGTAGGAGTCTGTATGTGCAGCGTTTAAGTTTGAATTGCTTTCCTTTTTGTGACTCTAAAAGCTAGCTGATCATCATGGGAAATGTAGTCCAGAAACTATTTATGGTGTCAAAACATACTTGATTCTGTTGAAATTATCTATAATTGCATCACTTTACACTGGCCTATAGTGTACCTTTTTAATAATAAAAAGTTACTGATTAGTAGCTCAATAGCAAACATGATGCACACTTGCTCGTTGGGCAGGGAGGAAACCAACTTTTCAATCTCTTATTTTATCTAGATGTTTGGATCCACCGGTTTATGATGAGAACCTATTATTGTGTTGTTGTGTATCTCCAATCTATTTTTATTCTTTTGTGTGTAAGGATGAAGAACAAGGATCCCTGGCTGAGAGCTTGAGAGCAACTGCAGAAGCTGCACTGTCTCAGACTGGCTTTACATATGATGAAAGCTCTGGGATGTACTATGATCACAATACTGGATTTTATTATGACTCGGTACGTGCTAAAATCCATGCCCTCAGTCTACGGTTACTAACATGCTCGTCCACTAATGAATACGCAGGAATCTTCTATCTCTAGCATTACATCGCTTAGTCTACATTAAGCTGCAGCCACTTAGCATCATGGGGAAAATAGTTTGCTTTAGTATGACCGCAGGATTTCTCTTTCACTTTTTGATGTAGTCTGTCTTGGTTTACTTCATATGTTACATGTTGTAGAACAAGGTAATTTATACCAAGTATTATATAATTATTTTTTTTTGTAATTTTTTATTATTCTTCAGTTGTATAAATGCACACCTATATGTTTGTCTCTATACAGGAATCTCAGTTATACTACGACTCTTCCACTGGTATATATTATTACTGTGATGTGGAAAGTGGAATCTACCAGTTTCATTCTCGAGTGGACTTGCAGGCCATTACAGACACAAACTCTCAGCCAATCAGAAACAAAAGGGAGAAGAAGAAGAGAAAGGAGTTGTTTAATAACATGGCAACAAAGGAAAAGGTAATGAAAGTTATAAGAAGCAATTTGTCCTATTTATTGTTGAGTTCTGGTCAGTTGCCCGGTCAGTGCATAGATCACTTGTATCCTCTCTTTTACTATATGGTTTACAGACAAGCATAAATATACTAGACAAAAATCAACTGAAGACTACTATACTATAAATAACAAGTACGTACGGAGTTATCCAAGATTTGGTTTTAACACAAAGCGAGCCACTTTCCGTGGAAAGAATGTATCCAGGGAAATTAATGGGTTTTTTTTGTTTTTTTTTATATTATGCTGCGATGGCCTGCTTTTATAATCTTATAATTGTGATTAAAGCATTTGTCTTCCAATAACCTTTAAAGGGGAACAGTCACATCCCAGGATTATAAATGTTTTATTAATGTTTGAAATATACACCATTAAATGTAGCGCTATCCTCAAGCTGAATACCGCCATCTGGCTTCCCTTTCAGTTATTGTTCTAAAAATAAATAAAAAATCAGTTTTTCTACCAGTGAGTCAGCATTGAGTAAATTAGGAGGAAAAACAAAACCACATTTTCTGTTTCTCCTCCTACAATGCATTCTGTGCCCTGACTCTGCCAGGACTGAACTGGACTGGGATGTTTAAATCTTTAATATTCATTTAAAAAGAAATTAAACATTGCACGAGAAAAAAGAGTTTAAGAAACAAAACATATTTTTCAATGTTTTATTCGAGTGACTGTCCCCCTTGACTCCAGTGAAAGTTGAGTTTTTCCAATGAATAAAAACTTTTAAATGTAGAATGACCATCCAGGCACGAGGTATACTGATGTGAAAAAGAAGTGGTTTTGCTTTCCTGCAATTTAGGTTGACATTAGCATGCTAACGAAAAATGATTCTCTGTAACCGCTCATGTAGATCCTTTGTCAGTGCTTTGGGAGAGTAGTTCATTTCAAATCCATTGCTTGCCCCCTCCTATACTGATATGATTACATACAGTGCGCTCAACATTTAGCAGCGGTCTGTAGCACACGTCCTATAGTTTGCACAGCATTTCATGTAGTGTGGGTTTGACTGTTAATCCTGTCTCTAGGTACACCATTTGACAGACACCATGGCTAGTCTGAAGATTTCCTCTTTTGGATACACACCATCTCGCAAAGGTAGAATTTTCCCGTTCCACTTAAAAGGCTCTTTCCAGTTTAACATTTAACACACCTAGAAGGTTTACTTTGATGTGGCAGGTGGGCTTATACCTAAGGGCCACTGGAGTGATACTAATGACATCCAGTTATGCATAGGGATTTGGGATAGTGCGCAAGTAACTAATTTCTTTGTTTTTTATTATATTTATATGTGTACTATAGTCATAGCTGCCATCCAGGACTAGTGGGATTCTGAGCGCAGGACTTATCTTTGTATATTTGCATTTGTATCACACAGCCATGTTCCAATGCTGCCGCCCACCCCATGTTTTTCCTATTAAGGGTTAAAAATATGTAGGGGTTTAGAAAAATATCCCTTTATTTCTCATTAGAGATTTTATACCTGAAGCTGAAAGAAGCAAGGTGAATTCTTAGTGTAGGACTCACCTAAGAGGTTTGACTTGACATGGCAGGTGAGCTTATAGTGGCCACTGTAGTGTCACTAAAAACCTGCAGTTATTTAAATATGCATATGGATTTGGGATAGTACGCAAATAACCATTTGGCCCATCTAGTCTGCCCAATTTTCTAAATACTTTCATTAGTCCCTAGTCTTATCTTATAGTTAGGATAGCCTTATGCCTATCCCACTAATGCTTAAAATCCTTTACTGTGTTAACCTCTACCACTTCAGCTGGAAGGCTATTCCATGCATCCACTACCCTCTCAGTAAAGTAATACTTCCTGATATTATTTTTAAACCTTTGCCCCTCTAATTTAAGACACTGTCCTCTTGTTGTGGTAGTTTTTCTTCTTTTAAATATAGTCTCCTCCTTTTACTGTGTTGATTCCCTTTATGTATTTAAATGTTTCTATCATATCCCCCCTGTCTCGTCTTTCCTCCAAGCTATACATGTTAAGATCCTTTAACCTTTCCTGGTAAGTTTTATCCTGCAATCCATGAACCAGTTTAGTAGCCCTTCTCTGAACCCTCTCTAAGGTATCAATATCCTTCTGAAGATACGGTTTCCAGTACTGTGTACAATAATAATAGAACTCAGTTAGCAAACATGTTACTACAATTATGCACTGACTGATATATGGATTTATATTTGACACATTAGGAATATTACTTTGTGTTTTTCCAAGTAGCAATCTCTTATGACTCATTATATCTCACCACTCCCACTGTTCGCGTGTGATAATAAACTCTATAATTCAGTAGAATTTGCTTCAATTCCCCACTTTATTTTGACTGACAACGCTTAGATGTATATTACTTCAACCTGGATCTTTTAGAAACTTATATTAATTATTTTATTAAATTCATAATAAATGTTACATTTTGTCTATTTTCTCTTGCCTTTCGGATTCCTTTCCTTTTTTTTTTTCTCTGTTAATCATAAGAGAGAAATAAGAGATTGGAAAGGGATTCTACCCCAGAGGAAAAATAAATAGACTCATTATAGAAATATCTTTATGAAATACTCATTTTGCCAGGGTGTGGTATTAAAGTTCTATCAGAATTGCAATATCTTTTTTTTGTTGTTTTGTTTTTTGTTACTCCCTACCTTTCTACATAAGATGCCATTATCATCTAATATTTTGCAACAATTTGTTCTACTTTCCACATTTATCCAGATTCAAACAAAATCCCTTAGACTTTTATATTCCATTGTTTGGATATTAAAGGATCACTATGGTGTCAGGAAAACATACTAGTTTTCCTGACACTAAGGCATCCTTAGGACCCCCCACTCCCCCACCCTCAGGGTCCCCCTTCAGCAACTTACCTTAATCCAGCAGCGGGCTGCCTCAGCGCTGGTGACCTCTCCTCCCCCTCCGACATCAGCTCCAGAGTGGAGCGGAATGCGCATGCGCGGCAAGTGCCGCGCGCCCATTCATTCTCAATGCTTTCCTATGGACGTTCTGGATGCAAATTTTGCATCGGGCATCGCAGAAGCACCTCTAGCGGCTGTCAGGAAGACAGCAACTAGAGGTTGGATTAACCCTGCAATGTAAACATAGAAGTATTTACATGTGAAGGGTTAAAACCTGGGGCACCTGGTACTCAGACCACTTCATTGAGCTGAAGTGGTCTGGGTGACTATAGTGCTCCTTTAAAATGTGAAATGTGTGAAGTCTAGAAAAGAACATGCTAAAGGAGAGGAGGCTGGCGTTTGAAACAAAGTTGCAGCTGTTTAAACGGAGGATACTTTCTATAATTCTATATTTTGTATCAAGATATCAGCTACAGTTGCTTCATATTATACGCTATGTCCTCCAAACACAGTATATCACTCCTTAATTGTGTTTTTATCATTAAATAAATATGGTTACTGTTATTGGATACCTGATGGTCTTGGCTTACCTGCTGCATAAGATCTCACGTACTCAAGGCGTGGATCCTTTCCAAGTCTGGCTGACTGTGTGGGACACAGTCTCTCTGATTTTTAAATCAAAATTTCCAGTATATGGTAATATATAATTTTGTGTTTTTTCTTTTTTTGCCTTTTTGTGTGCACTTAATATTGATATAATCATTTTTAGTTTTTAACGGTTAGAAATATTAGTGCCCAGTATTCACCATTATCTTTTATTAGTTTGACATATGTGTTTACTCAAATATATGATTTAAAGAACACTCCAGCGATTTATAGTCCTGCAAGCCAAAATCAGGCTTAGTGTCCATGGGACTTCACAAACATCTACAGTGCTGTCACCTTGAGCACTGAATTTAGAGCAGAATTCGATCTCTATAAGATGTGTTCATACTCCTGCACTGCCACTTCTTTTCATCCTTAAAATCAGTTTTGGGTCTCGGTTACCACTGTATAATGTTCTTGGGAAAGCTCAACTTTCTTTTCAAATGTAAAAGAACAAATATTGAAGGCGCTGTGGTACATGTTTCCCTTTCAATCTGTCCAATGTGTCCGTTTGAATTTTTTTTCCAAGGGTACAAAGGAGTTGAAATCAGTGCTAAGCTCATCTTACAGTAGTGCAGATCATGACAGACTCAGTGCATCTGAAAGGAAAGAGTTTGCCAGTGACATAAAGAAGGCCAAGATGAGCAGTTATAATGTAGATTCTAATGGCAGAAAGAGCTCCTCGTCTTCCGAGGAGAGTGAGCCAGAGGAGGGTGAAATCCTAAACTCTGACAATGAGAAGACTTCCAGTGATGAAGAGCTGTCCTGTGGCAACAGTCAAACTACCAACAACTCAGACATGGAAGGTGATTTTATTTCTGTTTAGATTGCGAGTAACAGGACATTTATCTCGACCATTCTGTTTAAATTAGAGTAGAGTGATGTTAATCTGGTTTCCTCCACGCTAAAGGGACACTAAAGATATCTCAATGACGTGCTCTGGGTGCAGGGGTCCTGACGTTTTAGTCCTGCAATCTAAAAAAGAAAATTCCTTTTAGAAGCTTCAATATTTTGATTACAGGGTTAAAACACCTCTGGTGATTGTCTTCCTAACAACCACTAGAGGGTGCTTGCACAGCAACAAATAGTTTGATTCTGTTTTGTGACTTTTAGTGTCGACCATCAGCAAATTCTGATCGTAGGGAAGCATTGGATTTAATATTTCCCTATCCAAAGCATTTGATTGGACAAGCACAGCACTCACCCCCACTGCTTCTCTATGTAAACCAGGCTCCCCCAAACTCAGGCCCTCCAGATGTTGCTGAACTACAACACCCATGATTCTATGAATGAAATAGGCTGAGAATCATGGGAGTTATAGATTAGCAACATCTGGAGGGCCGGAGTTTGGGGAAGCCTGATGTAAAGCGTTGGTTTCGACAAGAAGCCAAGAAAGTGACATCTGCGGGGTCTCACCAGCGACTTTCCTTTGTTCATAAATTTTATTTAGGGGGGTCTGAATCTAAATATGGAGGAGAAGACATTAGGAAGACATGTTTGTACTTGTAATGACTATTATTTTTGATTCCTTTAACCCCTTAAGGACCAAACTTCTGGAATAAAAGGGAATTATGACGTCACACATGTCATGTGTCCTTAAGGGGTTAAATCTTCCTGGGGGAATGTACATATTTTAATTGTTTTATGAAGTTATCAGGTATAATAGGTGCCTCTCTCACGTGTTAAAGATTAAGCTTTTTGTAACTCAATGTGCTTTGCTTAGTTAACTGATTATGAAATTATTTTAATCAGTGAGTGTGTTAATCTTGTATTAATCCTTACAGTATTTTTAACACTTTAGTGTTCCATAATATGGTTTTATTAGATGTTCCTTTGGAAGAGAAGTAAAAGATGGTACTGTGACATCATTAATCCAACCAAAGATAGAGAATGTTTTGAGGAATTCTGGGGAAATGTTTTAGAATGGAGCAATAAGGATAAACATTATTTTAGTATCTGTGGAGAATGATCCACTTCTAGTTTATTTTTCCAAATACCATCTGTAGAGACTGTACTTCAATATTTAGCTAAATTATTGTGCTGAAATGGAAGACATAATCTTGGCCCTATATAGAAAACCAAATTTTAAAAAAAGCATTAAAGGAACACTATTTGGTCAGGAACACAAACACGTATTCATGATCCTATAGTGTTAAAGCCACCATCTGTGCCCCCCCCCCCTCTCTAAATATAGAAAAATCTTACTTGTATTCAAGTCTGCTGCTGCTAGCTCTGACTCTTACCTGCCTGCATACCTAACATCATCAGAAGTGGTGGTCTGAGCCAATCACAAGTTAAACACAGCCCTGGCCAATCAGCGTCTCCTCATAGAGATGAATTGAATCAATGAATCTCTACGAGGAAAGTTCAGGATCTCCATGCAGAGGGAGGAGACACAGAATGTCAGTCACACTGTGCAGCACTGCCCCAGGAAGCACCTCTAGCCGCCATCTGAGGAGTGGCCAGTGAAGTTATCACTAGGCTGTAATTTAAACACTGCATTTTCTCTGAAAAGACTGTTTACAGCAAAAAGCCTGAAGGTAATGATTCTATAAGCTGTAGTTGTTCTGGTGACTATAGTGTCCCTTTAATGACTGTGTATACCTGTATTAGCTGAACCATACAATAAAACAATGAAATCAATTATAAGTATCACATTCCAAAATGTAAGATCTAGAACTAGAGCAAGGGAGGCAGGATAAGAAAGAGATGGGTTGGGACGACAACGACGACAGAATGAACAGACAAAATTAGCAACAAAAAAAGCTGATCAAAAAGCATCAAATTGTGACCTTAAACTCATATACCGTATATTCACAGAGTTTATGTGCAGCAGAATAATAGATCTCTAGCTCTCTAGAAGCCTGAATGTAAATAATGATGGGAGTAAGGACAAACAGATAACCAGGCCATGTATTTCTCATATACCAGAACACTGATTCTGCTGGACCTCAGGCACTGTATACTTAAGTTAATCTGTGTTGAAACCAGTCCGAGGACCAGTAAGATGTGCGTTGAGGTTCCCCAAGAATAAGTTCCGTGCTGTAGCAATATGTCATCGCTATATGGAGTGGTGACTGATGAGCATACGGCAGTAGTGCGTTCCCTCGCCCACGTCGGTTAATTAAAAGTGCTGTGTATGCCGGCGTGGACTTGGATGGCGAGTGGTCGTCAACCTGGCATACAGTCATGTCTGCCATCGGTTCAAGTGCATCGGTTCTCCCTTTTGATCATCGACAGGTGGGCAGCTGTGTAGAGGCAACCAACCTGGTTTAATTGTAACCTGGTGCTACTGAAGGGGGACGAGTGTTCAGAAGCAGCTCCTGAGGTGGAATATAGCGTCTCGAGCCAGGTGGTTGGAGTCGGCGGTACAATTTCACCCAGAATTCTACCAAGATCCTGTCTATCGTAGACCTGTACAAATCAATTTTGGAGGGCCAGCATTTAACTAAAGTTTTTGGGTGTAGATCTTCAAGATAAAGACCATGAGTTTGAGTTGAAACGTTGCCGGCTCCATAGATCTTTGTAATTTAGATCTATGTAATCATTTTTGGTGTTGTGGCTCCTTATTGTTTTTTAGCATGGACGTGTATGAGCCCTGAATGCTGGGCTTCGATATGCACATGGCATCCGCCATCTTGGGTAGGTCGCTGCGCCTTCTGTCTAGTCAGTCCGCAGTGCCATGAAGCCCTGTCTCAGCATTGTAGGTGCACACCGAGATAACTCCCTCTTGTAGAGGGAAGGATGAATATGACCGCTTTCTGGGTGTTCCAGACAGGAGATTGGCCACCTCTCCACTCGTCAGGTTACTAGAGGCCATAGCTCTGTCAGTCTACTCTCTGGGAGCTTGTCTGCACAAGGTAAGTAATTGTTGCTTATATAGAGCTTGGGTGCAGCAAAAGATGTTTAGATATCTTTGTGGTTTAGTTATCAGTCTAGTTTTTAGTCAAACAGATAGTAAGTGCATAACAGTCCGGAGCTCATTCAGGACACATCTACCCGGCATGGCAGTAAGGCCCCATATCCTGTTTTGTTTTTTAAAACAAAGTACTACCTATTTTCAAAACCCTTACATTTTTATATCCGTAGCTTCATTGTAGAAATCCTAACAAGGCTTCTCTGATTACTCCCATAGTATAATGTGGTGTCTTAAAGGGGACTCCCATAGAGTCCATGTTGTCTGCGATTGTGGGACATACAGTTTGTCAGTTATGGTTTGTTTTAAAATTTAATAAAATGCATTGGTTAAAGAAAAAATCAATGTCTATTGGTTCTGCAATATCTGGATGAATGAGGGACAAACTTTTATTTATTAGTTTTGACTAATTCCCTATCCGCTGCAAAAATAGTCTTTATGTAAATCCTTTTACAGCTCTGTTCCCAGTAGTTTGAATGGTTGCTCCAGGTCACTGTAGTGTTTATGATGCAGGGATTACCCTGGCCCCGTTTCCCAGAAATGGGACAAACCACTGATTGCATCTGGTATAGACATATGCCGAAAATTGATTACATAGTCTGGCCCAATGGCGTGGCTGGAAGGGAGTTACATCTCTGGCAGCAAAACGCAGCAATTCCAGACTTCTGGCACCATAACCACTTCATATCACTTATTCTTGTCTCGGCAGTGAACTTGCCTGATAGAAAGGGGTATAAATGGTAAGTGCTTTGCTGAAGTGCTTCTCACTTTTTGAATACTGTTTCTCAAGTAGCATATTAAACCACTTCTCATGGCTGTTTTTTTTACTTTCTACAACTGTGAAGGATGTTTACTCCTAATCCCAATAGGTTCTATCACAGTGATAGGCATCATTTTTTTAAAAATATATTTCTTTCTCGTATCTTATAGATGCTGATAAAATCTGGCCCCCTTGTATCAGAGTAATAGTGGTACGTTCACCGGTATTAGAGAAAGGATCCCTTTTCATCATTACAGCTGTAAAAAGGGCCACCATTGGACGGTATGTACTTTATGCAAAATCCTTACATTATGAGCTTTGTAATATTTATTTGTAATTAAAGTTTGTATTTTGGTTGACATTTTGTTAATTCCCTATTAACTGCTGTGGGCTGTATCATGGGCAAATATATTTCTACATGCTAACTTTCAAAGTGGTTTGAGCTGGAATGATGATCTGAGTTTTATTTTTCCTGTTTATCCTGGGTAATAGATATTAAAACTAGATCAGTGTTGGATGGTTATAAAAAAACACCAAGATAAACATGTAACCGCTTCATTGGTCTTCTCTTTCCTTCCCTTCCTTCCACAGAGAAAAGGACATGGCCCATACCATCCGAATCCCTGAGCTTGGTGTCAGTAAGGTTTGTAATTCATAATTTGCAATCAAGCCTTCTTGTTATATTTTATATTCATTGAAATCTGTTTTGTTAGATAGGACTTTTTATGTATATAATACTTTTTGTTCTCTTTAGTTTCATGCTGAAGTGTATTTTGACCAGGATTTACAAAGCTATGTTCTCATCGACCAAGGCAGTCAAAACGGTACCGTTATTAATGGAAAGCAGATTTTACAGGTTAGTGTTTTTCATTGATTGGCAAACTTCACAATGAATCCGAGACTATGGAGGCTTTTTATGAATTCCTGGGGAGAAATGATCCATATTTCCTATTCTATATATAACCTCTATTCCTACCTTTTTTTTTTTTAATATAATTATTTCATTTCCAATTTGACTGTTTTTCAGTTTATCCCCATTCAAAATAAACCAGAAGGCTGATGTGAACTACTATTAGTGCATTGAGATATTCTAACATTTCATGATTCCAGGATTTTGATGAGCAGCACTGTCTTTGAGTTAACTCATTTGAATAATTTCTTGACCTTTATCACAGCCCAAACAGGTTTCTGAGCCTTGTGTGCTGGAGCACGGAGATGAAGTGAAATTTGGTGAAACCGTACTTTCTTTCCACGTTCACCCAGGCAGTGATACCTGCGATGGATGTGAACCTGGGCAAGTCAGAGCTCATCTTCGCCTCGATCAAAAAGAAGCAGATTTAGGTGAGCCTCTCGGTTCACAGCTTTTCGTATGCTGTGCCCCGACTAAATGCAAACCAGGTACAAGCAAAACACTTTTCCATTTAGACGTTAATATACTTGCATATATTAATTACATTCATAATCATACTAGCACACAGCGGCAGTAATTACTGTAAGAAGTCTCTACCCTCCTGCAGGCAGAACAAGCACACAGAAACTTTAAAGGGACACTATAGTCACCATACCAAATACAGCTTAATGTAGTGGTTCTTGTGTCTATGCCATGTCCCTGCAGGCTTTTTCAGAGAAAAGGCAGTTTTTACATTTATCACACCTCCAGTGGCCACTCCTCTGCTTCCTGGGGCAGTGCTGCACTGCCGTTAGAGCATGGAGATGCAGAACTTTCCCCATAGCGATGCATTGATTCCATGCATCTCCATGAGGAGATGCTGATTAGCCTGAGAGGGGGAGTGTGACAAACTCCCCTTTTCCTGTGAGTTTGCCACGAGTTTTTGGAGGGGCTTGGCTGCTCGCCTCTTGTCCCTGAACTATGGCCTATGTATTAGACTGGGATACAGACTGGAGATAGGGCTGTTGTTTGTGTCTTTTTCCCCAAGTTCAGTCTATGGGACAGCCGAATGGATTGTGTCTTTGGTGTTCATTTATACGAACCAACTACCGAACAGCCGGACCACACACAAGTGGTGTGTGTCCCGCATTTAACCGGTTAACCGTAGCTAATTGGCGAACGGCTGGGTGGTCGCCGTTCGTATAGTCGAATACGTGGTGGCGGCCATCTTGTTTAGTCGAACGCGTTCAGCGGTGTTTGGTCGTCGAGTTCATGGAACTCCAATTGGACACGCGACAACACGAACACTGCTGAACTTACCTTCTCCAAACTTCAACGCTTCGACGGGAGTAAAACAGCATTTGACAATTCGAACGCACTTTAACGTTGACATTTGCACGAACGGTTGCCGTTCGTCTGTTTGAACTAACTTTAACATGGGAAATAGACCGACTGCAGAGCCAAATTCTGTGGAACTGTTTTGGGCACGAAAGCCATGCTGCGGTCGGTCAAGAGAGACCTCCATAGACACTTGAACCCCATGGCTATTTGACTATGTTCATGGGATCTGAGCGCTGTTCGGATATTAAGCGCTCAGATCCAAGATATCTGGGGATATGACACATGTGGGGGTTCAGTTCTGTGAAACAGAAGTTATCTATTTTAATGTGTTTTTTGTTTTAATTTAGGAATATTTTCTGTACCTGGAGATAATTGAGTTTACTACAGCCACTTAAGCCAATTATCTCCATGATAGAGGGGAGGGATTTTACTGTGTATGTGGGAGTGTTACTGTGTTAATTATTGTTCCCATTGGTATGTGTACCTTTTGTCCCAGTTTACCACCAGGTCCAGGTGGTGTGCCTCTGGCCTGAAAATGTGTATAAAAGGAATGCCTTTGTGCTCATTAAACAGATCATCTTGCACCTTCATGAAGTCTTGGCTCATGTTTGGAGGATTGGAGAACTACCACACTCTAGGGATTGCTATAATCACTATACTCCCCAGAGTATAATCACTAGCTCTTGTAAGAGCTGTTCCTGCTCTCTGGATTACAAGAGAGGTCTATCTACTGGAAGCTGGATCCTGGTCTTGGGTCCAGAGTGGGTGTAAGATGGCGAGACCCCAACCAAGCTGTGGCGGTTCGTGGGGCCTGCAGTGGTTATGGCATCTAGTGGAGTTCTTGGAGCCCTCGGAAAGCACTAGGAGCATCCGTCAACGGAACGTACCCAGTCGGGGTGCCAGGCGTTCCGTTACAGGGAGTTTGGCCCAGTCTCCTTGGAAAGCTCAAGGAAAGCATTGTGATTGGCTGAGATCAATTATGATGTCAGCCAAAGAGGTGGATTGGGGGGGATCCAAATGCTGGTGCTGGAAATAAGGTGAGTTTTCACCCTATTTAAGGGTGGTGGGGGGCTAGATAGTGATTTTTAACACAAACATGTATTTCTGACCCTATAGTGTAGCACTTCCTCTTGAATGATACGTGTTTTTGTTTTGCAGCAGGTCCAATACTAAGCAAAGAAGGGAAGGAATTATTAAGAAGACAGGAACTTAAACAGATTAGAGTGAAATATGGCTTGCAGGTGAGATCTTCTTTTGCATCGTATTACATTAAATATAAACATTCGGTTGGTATGATCTCATGCTATAGAGAAACTAACTTTGCCAGCATGTAAACTTTGAGAAATCTGTGATCCACCCTCTTCCTGCTCTTATTATTCTGACGGCATTTATGTAGTGGGGTAAATCTGGAGGGATTTCCTATTGGTTAAACCTCCCAGCTGAGATATGAAAGCTATCCCTTCTTGATATATAATTTGGAACAAATTCTGGTTCTAGATTGAAGTCATTTTGCATACTTGTGTAGGTTTTATTATTTTTATTTTTTTATTTAGTGTTCTCACCATTTTTAACTCCATATTTTGGTTCTCTAACCTTACATGCTGCGATCTAAACGTGAAACTTCTATATTTGTAGAGTGCTGACTATGAAGAAAATAAAGCTTTGAAAAACTCAAAATACCTGGACCGGGCTGGAAAGCGCAGAGAGATAGTTGGAAGTGAGGGAACTTTCCAGCGAGAAGATGCACCATCATCTATACATGTGTAAGTGTAAAATATCTAGAGAACAGCTCACTTTTAAAATGTATGAACCCATAACTCTAGAGAAAAACAAATCTTAAAACATTAATACAATTAGCACAACTAATACAATATGATTTAATTGTTTAACCCCTCCCACCTCCCTTTTGTAAACGGAGCAATTTAGTATTTTAGTTGCGTACCGTCATTAAATTAATTCTATTAATCTGTTTAAAACCACCCCCACCCCCCCATAAAATGATTTACATAAATCTAAACTCTGTTTCTCTGTAATTACAATGAAGACCCTACAGCGTGGAGGTGGCCATCTTCCCATCACAATTTTCAACTTACAATGACAAGACTGCACAGATCATGTGATTTCAGCCGCCAATTATAGTCTTGGACAAATTATCTGGTGCTCTGCGCACAAGGTTAGCTAGAAACCCGCTGATGGCCATGTCACACTCTGCTTTCAGAGTGCTTTTTTACAGGAAAATGGGCATCAAATATGACTTTTCCTGAGGAAAAAACACACAAAAAATAACCTAATATACAACAAAAACACAAACGTGTACACTTATCAGAGTTAAAGGACCACTCTAGGCACCCAGACCACTTCAGCTTAATGAAGTGGTCTGGGTGCCAGGTCCTTCTAGGGTTAACCCATTTTTTAATAACCATAGCAGTTTCAGAGAAACTGCTATGTTTATTAATGGGTTAAGCCTTCCTCCTAATCCTCTAGTGGCTGTCTCATTGACAGCCACTAGAGGCGCTTGCGTGCTTCTCACTGTGATTTTCACAGTGAGAGCACGCCAGCGTCCATAGGAAAGCATTGAGAATGCTTTCCTATGCGACCGGCTGAATGCGCCCGCAGCTCTTGCCGCGCGTGCGCATTCAGCCGACGGGGCGTAACGGAGGAGGAGAGAAGGAGGAGAGCTCCCCGCCCAGCGCTGGAAAAAGGTACGTTTTTACCCCTTTTCCCCTTCCAGAGCCGGGCGGGAGGGGGTCCCTGAGGGTGGGGGCACCCTCAGGGCACTATAGTGCCAGGAAAACAAGTGTTTTCCTGGCACTATAGTGGTCCTTTAACAGAGAACAGCTTCCCACTGAACACCTCCCAATTAGTGTTACGTCTGAACAAGCCAAGATATACAATATACCACGTATTCAGCTGATAAATCTAAACTAAAATAAAACATAGCATAATACAGTTGATGGAAATATAATATTCCCTACTATAGGTTGTCAAAAATGGGTCGCAAGAGAATACTGAGGACGGGCAGCAGCTGAAATAGCCTGCCCTTCGGTCGGTCCCCGCTCAGTTCTCAAGCTGATTTTTGCTCATCTTGTGCCATTACAGAGAGAACATATCTAAAGCATATCAGACAGGTCCCACCCATACGGGCAGTCCAGATCCGAAATGCCAGCAAGTTCTCTCTGCACGAGAGATACAGCAACCCCAGACGATCGTTTCAGCCTTATTAGGCATCATCAGTGAGGCATAGCTGATATCTCTCTAGGCACCGTGAGCAAGGGGTCCACGTCTGGATTATCCCTTTAAACTTGTAGAGAGTCAAAAATGGGTCGCAAGAGAATACTGAGGACGGGCAGCAGCTGAAATAGCCTGCCCTTTGGTCGGTCCCCGCTCAGTTCTCAAGCTGATTTTTGCTCATCTTGTGCCATTACAGAGAGAACATATCTGAAGCATATCAGACTGGTCCCACCCATACAGGCAGTCCAGATCCGAAATGCCAGTGAGCACGGTGCCTAGAGAGATATCAGCTATGCCTCACTGACGATGCCTAACAAGGCTGAAACGTTCGTCTGGGGTTGCTGTATCTCTCGTGCAGAGAGAACTTGCTGGCATTTCGGATCTGGACTGCCTGTATGGGTGGGACCAGTCTGATATGCTTCAGATATGTTCTCTCTGTAATGGCACAAGTTGAGCTAAAACCAGCTTGAGTTCTGAGCGGGGACCCACCGAAGGGCAGGCTATTTTAGCTGCTGTCTGTTCTCAGAATACTCTTGCGACCCATTTTTTTTCTCTCCATTAGTTTAAAGGGTAATCCAGACGTGGACCCCTTGCTCACGGTGCCTAGAGAGATATCAGCTATGCCTCACTGACGATGCCTAACAAGGCTGAAACGATCGTCTGGGGTTGCTGTATCTCTCGTGCAGAGAGAACTTGCTGGCATTTCGGATCTGGACTGCCTGTATGGGTGGGACCAGTCTGATATGCTTCAGATATGTTCTCTCTGTAATGGCACAAGTTGAGCTAAAACCAGCTTGAGTTCTGAGCGGGGACCCACTGAAGGGCAGGCTATTTCAGCTGCTGTCTGTTCTCAGAATACTCTTGCGACCCATTTTTTTTCTCTACTATAGGTTGCACTCACAGGATGTTGAAGTTATTTGCGCTCTAATGGTGCCTCCCCCGATGTTTTGGGGGGCTTGTATCTCTCTCTTAGGATCAGGTATCACCCAATAGCAGGAACCATACAGGACTCCGACAGGTAGATGTGTAGAAAAGAGGTTTATTAAATATAAAAGGGCAATAAAAGAGGATTGGTCTTCTACATTTCGTCCACTAAGGGACTTCCTCAGAGACCAGTGTACAATAAACGCAATAATATTATTAGTAATGCTCCCAAAAAGAAGCAGCCTAATTCCACCCTCCCATCAGTCCCCTTAAATAGGACTAGTCCCTTTAGTTCATTGGTTATTCCAGTGGGTGTTTTCCTATAAAAAAAATAACCTAAAAAAACCCACTATTTTATTTTCTTCACAAAGTGAAATCAATGAGAAGAACAAAGGGAGAAAAATGCTTGTGAAGATGGGATGGAAAAAAGGAGATGGTCTTGGAAAAACTGGTGATGGTTTGAGAGATCCGGTAAGGTCACCTTCTCAGGATTTTATCATTTCGCCGTGTTCTAAGCTGCAATACACTCACAACTTTGTGATTTTTATTTTTAATTCTTGTGTTAACAGATGCAGGTTGCTGTCTACTTTTGAGCACTTGAAAATTTCTGTTTTAGAGCTTGTGTCTCAAAACCATTTGATAATTAGGGCTATTTATAGTATGGTCACTAATATATCCAGTGTGTTGGTTTGTCGTAAATCTTGTATCTGCCGTACTTGAGTCATTTGAAGCTACAACAGTGATTTATGATCTGCTTCAAAACAATTTATTGTCCATTTAAAACTCCCAACTGTAATGTATTTAACTGCAAGGAGATATTTGGATTGACTTACACTTGAAGAGAAAACCTTTCATCTGTAATGTCCTGAAATAGAACATTTCATGTTTACCGAAACAAAACACTTGTTAGATCATCTTTGGATAGATTGACCTGTAAACTGTACTATCAAAACAAATCACTTTTACTAATTGCACATTAATTAGCTGCCATACATATATTCAGCTTTGATATTGTGTATTACATGTATAATCTTGTACTAAACACTAAATGTTTTATAGCTCACAATGCATTAGATTTAATTACTGTAAACCATCTGTCTGTAGATCGCAGATCATGTTCTGTATTTAATCATTTCCTTTTTTTTTTTCAGATTAAAATTCAGCTCCGTCAGAAGAAAGCAGGGCTGGGGACATATAACCCTTCTTCCATTGAGGAAATTCAGACCAAAACTCAGAACAAAAAGAATTGGGAGAAAGCCAGGGAGCGATATGCAGAAACATTTCCCGAAGACAAGCAGCTGCATGATTCCAAGAGAGGAAATTCTTGGGTTAAAGGCTCTGCACGATGACATCCTATACAAAGGCGCACTGTGGCCTGATCTGCTGTATGCACAGAATGCATTTGTTTAGTTCTTTGTCGCCCCTTTCTAATTATTTGCACATTCAGACTGTTGCATACATGTAGTGTCCCTCTATAAAACTGGCATCTAAATCAATGTATGCTGTCATGTGCATAATACAATATGACAAGGGAACTGCAAACCTTAGTCTAGAATAGCTGAACTGGAAAATTACTAACATTGAGCAATATTTCCAATTTGAGGATTTAGCCAAAAAAAAGGGGGCTTCTCTACAATTTTCAGTTTAGAGAAAACCCTAAGAAAAGTGTAGTGAATTGACAACCAGATTTCCAATATTCTGCCATTTTTTGTAATGTATGTATATAGTATAGATATCCTTCCGAAATTCAACAAAAATGTTTTTAAGTATTTTGTGAATATTTCACTTATTTTCTGTAAATACCACATGTGCGAATTTTCATGAATTCAGTGTGAATTTGGGCTTTGAGGCCAAATTAGCCCAAATAAAAAATATAGTGGTCTTGATGAGTTTCTCAATGATTCACACCTGAAAACAAGATGTTATTTCTTCCACTTGACATAGACAAGGTTTTTAAATGATTAAAGGGGACCTGTCACTTTGTTGGATTATTAACACTGCTTTCTTACCCAATATAAATTGTTTGTATGAAATAATAGAATTTTTACGCACATTTAACTTTTTTTCCTTAGTATTAGTGACAAGGCAGTATGGATGTTAATCAGTGTAGTGGACACAAACCACCATATCTTGCTGAAAAATCATGAATTCTGCTGGTGAGGACAATACCAGAATCTTTCCATCTATTCGCCTTTGCAGCACCTTGTTTGTTTCTGTAATTGTTCCCAAACACTTCTCATTTAATCTTTTTCCTTATTGAACCACATTTAATGTACACGTTGCTTGTGGGTTCCCTGTTCCAAAATGCATGGCTTTGCATTTAACTGTATTCAATATCATCTGCTACTCGCATGCTTAGTCCCCCAAATTATCCAAATCGCTCTGTAGAGAAGTTATATTATGTTCAGACAGTCTTTCACTGCCTACTTTAGGATAATTTCTAAACAAATTAAATAGAAGTAGATCCAGGACAGAACCCAGAGGCACGCCACTCACCACCTTTGCACGTTTTGAAAATGTTCAACTTCCATCTACTTTCTGCATTTTAGCTTTAAGCCTGTGTTCTATTCAAGATCAAGATTTGTCATCTAAACAAACTAAAGCTCACAAATCTGTAGATGCCAGGTTGAGCTTTTGAACCCTTTTAAAATATAGACACTACATCTGGCTTTTCTCCAATCCTGGTAAGATTCCTGAAAGTAAAGAATACTAAAGGTGAAAAAAGTAATGTAGATATTTATACACTAAGCTTCCTAAGTACTTGTGGGCGAATACCATCTGGCCCTGGGGCTTTGTTTACATTAACTTTATTTAACCGCTGTAGCGCTTTACACCCCTGTTAACCAATGTATCTGCGATATATGGTTGTTTTTTTTTTTTTTGTTTTTTTTACTAAAAGCATTCTGGAGTAAACACCTTAAAACCAACTTCTCTGGTTGGGACTTTTTTTTATTACTCCTTTTTGAAAAACATCTATTGATTCTGCCAAAAGAGCCCATACTTTCATGCAAAAGATAAAGGTAGAATAGAACTAGGTTTACTTAAAAATCTTATCTTGTATACATTTCTTATTGTATTAAAGACCCACAGGTTCTGGATTGTTAACTCCTGTTGATTCAAAATAATTTCTAAAGTCTTCCAATTCTTATCCTGGCATCAGAACTTTGTGTTCTTCTTGTCTAGAGCAAAGATTGCTATCCCTGAATCAGTATTCCTGCAGCCATTTTGGAATGGAATAAAACATGTCCTGATAAATTGGTTTAAAGGGGTTAGCTCTGTTGGTAAATTACCTGACTACAAAGCTTGTTCAAAAATGCAAGGTCACAGGTTCAAATCCCAGCAGGGTCAACTCAGCCCTTCATCCTTCTGAGTGCCATTAATTGGGTAATAATATCTAGAGTGTGTGCTGGAAAACGCTTTGAGTCCCACTGGGACTCAAGCTATATAAATACTGGTTATTATTATTAGTATAGTTATTAAACATGAAGAAGAACAACCAAATCTTCCATCTATTTTAGTCCTGATTAAGTGTTTTCTTGGTTTTTAACATTTGCTTAATGAACTCTAATGCAGAACTAAATTTTTTTTCTCTGAAAAGGGAGTTCACATAGAGCACTCTTAGATGTATCTGCCAAAATGGATTTCAAGTAAATGGCCCCTCTGGCAACAATCCTATAATTCTAACTGGCACTTTTAAGTACTCCTACGTCCTCTTGCATACAAACGAATGACATTTAATGTTTTTGCAGAATCACCAGAAAGGCAATTCTCTAAAACTTGCAGCAAATAGTTTGTGCTGTGGTGAAGGCCCAGTAATCAAGGTCTTATTCTGATAGGCTGAAGCTCGGAAAACGTGTCTGCAGGCTTTCTCAGCATGATCACGGAATCCAGATACTTCACCAATCAGAATTGTCTTTCTTCCAACTAAGTGATCGGTCCCCTTTAATATTCCTCCTAATTAATATGGATATATGCCCTGTTTAGACATACTAGAACCAGCTCCCAGGTAATTGGTCTGTTACATTCAGTAGCAAGGTCATATTTTCCTCTATGAAGGGGTTTTAAAATAATGCTGGAGTGGCGCGGTGTAATGTATTGCATATTAAAGTCTATTTTATCACAAATATCTGTGTAATTTTTATTTCAAGAGCATGGGACCAAGCATTTTATATAGATTTCACTAGATTTTCCCACCCCAGTAATAGTCACAAAGCAATTTTTTATTCTCTGTAAATAGTTTCAGCAGGATCATGTGGAACAAGGTCCATCAGAGTTCCCCAAGGAACCCCAGTTCTGTCAGAGTAAGTGATATTCTTATGGAAGCAGATTCTCTAAGGTTGAGGATATTAGATGTATGGAATAACAAACAGGACTGAAACGCCTTAAAGGAACACTCCTGACACGTAGAGAACTTCAGCTTCTTCCGTGTGCCTGGAGTATCATTTCAGGCAGGTTTGAAAAGTGCCGATTTCTATAGTCGAAAGCTCTGATGAGCTGAAATAGCGAAACGTGTATTAGGGAATCGGCTGCTCCCATTAGCATCCAACTATTGTAGTGCCTGCAGGAATTTGGTGTTTGACGTTATCTTTATGACCTGGGCACGGCATCAATCCTAGCAGCTATGGGGAACCAGATTTTTCCACTTACAGTACTTAGTGTTCTATCTAACTGATTTTATTTTTAACATTGGGTAGAGGGATTATACTTTGTAACCAGACAGGGATATCGTTTGGGGTAAGGGGTGCCCACGAAGGCACATTTGAGCAAGCTATCTACTCAGACTCCCTCTCATTCCCCCCTTGTCCCTATATTCCTCCATCCCTAATCAATCACATGTAACTGTAAACTTCTAGGGCCGTTATCTCTTTTCTTTATTTTAGAAGATTGATTATGGCGCTTTGATACTATTCAACATCACCGGGTGTTACTAGTACATCTATATTGATTCAATTCCCGATTATAGCGGTTCTGTTTAAATGTTCTGCTACTTCTCAGTTACATGGTGATAATTATGGTAACACCTATTACATTTACAAATGTAGCGTTTTAGACCAAGATATTTTGACACTAAGCTGTCGTCAGTGTCTGCTTAGCAGTGATTTATTTAGTATCCACTCTAACCATCCCACTAGTGGAAGTGTGCTTATTTATTATACTCTGAGTATCATTATTAGAATTGTTTTGGCCATTATAATATCATTTTCACACAGGTGTGTGCTGTTAAGATCTATTCACAACTTTTAATTAGTGGACCATTATAGCTTAACACCATAATATTGTTTTTAGATGTGCTTTCCTTTTTCAATAGAACTGTCTTTTTTGTTGCTAGCCTTTTTTGTTTAGTCCTTGTCGGACTTTACGGTTACCAAGATTTAATAAAGGTTAAGTCTTAATTTTACCCATAGTATTCCATATCTTTAGTACTTGCATCCTCTATGTTTGTCTCTTTTGTTTGTTATTTGCAACCCCAGTTGTAAACCCCCATTCGAGAGGTTTTGCACTGTCTCCAACTCATCTCTATGGTCGAGTACTTCTGTTTTAGATCTCTTAAACAGAGGACCTAGGTGTCAAACCATGCATATGTGGGTACAACAGTAACAGGGGACTCATGGCACCATAACCACTACACAGGGGGTGTAGTGGCTATGGTGCCTTGACTGTCCTTTTCAATTTGATCTATGCAATATGGGTCCTCTAAGGACCTTCAAGAATTCATTATTATTAATCAGAGGAGAAAATCATAGGTACGAATGACGTATTTATTTTGCTAAGAAAACAATTGTTATTTTAAAATGATTTCCTGTCAGGTTTAGAGAAACATACTAAAGCCATTTTGGTTTATGGAACCCAATATTTTGTACAGGTTGTATTTCCCTTAGACGTTTCACACCTATATTTTGGATCATTCTGGCTGAAATTGTATTTGTTTTTTTAACTATCGGTAGTCTTACAATGGAGAAAGTATGCCTCATATAGGTGGCATGGGCACAGAAAATGAGCATGCACTAACAAGTAAATTCAAGGGTTGCTCCAAGCACCATGACCACTTCAATGATTTGAAGTGATCATAGTGCCTGGGGTCTGTATGTGCAGCGTATTGCATTAAAACACTGCACAGAGTAACTCCACCTCCAGGAGCATCATGCTATGTTGCTTTTGTTCCACAGAATGTCAGACATTGCCTGAGAGCGGTCAGCTGATGCTCTTAACCAATGAATAGCAATGCTTTCTGGTGTGGTGTTCTGCAGAAGCCTGTCACAAGACCATTAGGGATCATCTGAGCCAAGTGGGAACCCAGTTAAGGGGCAAACCAT